TTTTAATTGGATTATTTGCTTTTTGTTTGTGAAGGTGCATGAGCTCTTTATATATTTTGGATGTCAACCCTTTATCAGAGCTGTCATTTACAAATATGTTCTCCCATACTGTAGGATGCCATTTTGTTCTATTGATGGTGTCCTTTGCTGTACAGAAGCTTTTCAGCTTGATATAGTCCCACTTGTTTATTTTTGCTTTTGTTTCCCTTGCCTGGGGAGATATGTTCATGAAGAAGTCGCTCATGTTTATGTCTAAGAGATTTTTGCCTATGTTTTTTTTTCTAAGAGTTTTATGGTTTCATGACTTACATTGAGGTCTTTGATCCATTTCTAATTTACTTTTGTGTATGGGGTTAGACAGTGATCTAGTTTCATTCTCTTACATGTATCTGTCCAGTTTTGCCAACACCAGCTGTTGAAGACTTAATCTTTTTAGATCATAGATTCCTTTGGAAATACAAAGCTAACTGAACTTTCTCCCTAGGAAAACATACATACACAGACATTTTTGCACACATTCAGGGGTTAATCCCTAGAAGTCCATTCTTGGTTCCTGGGTCTTATAAGAATCTCTTCTTTAGGCATGTCATCTGGATCTCCTCAGGTTGCTTACTGCCAAGAACAGCTCTCCCAGGAGGAAAGCTGCTCCATCAGAGAAGCAGCAGGACGCCTGCCCCTCCCGCCCCGGCTGGAAGTGTCTGGCAAGTTGTTCCTGGGACTGACCCCCAGGTGGGTGATGCTGCCCCTCCAGGAGCAGGAGTCTCCTCACTCCCCGCTCTGAGAGGAGAGTGAGTCAGTCTTTGTCCAGCCCCAACTGGCATCCCTTTCTTCAGCTTTCCTTCTGTGCCCCTCCCTGGGATCAACTTGTGCTGGAAGGTTCTACGCAGGGAGCGCCAAAGGGTAGCTGGTGTGTTGGGGAAGTGAGAGGCAGACAAAGTCCTGAGATAGATTGATTTAATTAGTCAATTAATTAATTATCCTTGAAATGGTAGCTAACACTCATCATTCAAGCCCTGCAGGCAGCCTCCCTTCAAAGTTCTCATGGAGGGAGTAGGCCTGTGGACTCCCCCAGCACACTACCTTTTCTACTATCACCCAGCCCAATTCTCCCATTCCATGCGGGCTCTGGGAGGACACTGGCCTACCCTCCCTCTGATCTGAGAGCCCCTCCCCACTTTCTAGGTTTCTGACCTACATTGATGAGGCAAGTCCCAGTGGGACATAGGACTGGGGAGGTCCTTTGATCTGCCCAAGCTGCCAATTAGCTTTATTGTTTCTCTCTGCTACAGTCTGGGCATTGGTCGTGCTTGCTTCCTTTGCATGTGGCCACTGTGTGTCCCTGACGGCAACATCATCAGTGGGAATTCCCAGAGCTGACTGGAGGGGAAGAGGGGCAGCGCCAGCTTTCAGGGGCTGCACCTGCAGCCTCCCTGACTCATGCGCACCCCCTTGCCACCCTCCTCCCCTTCAGGTGTAAGGTGCATCTACAGCTGGGAGCCGGTGGGGCACAGGGAATAGTGGGACTGTTCTCCCGGGCCATGGAGGGGCGCACAAATGCAAGTAGATGGGCACAGAGCCAGAACTGATGCAGACTAGGAGGTAACCATCCAGGCTTTGCCCACTTGCTGATTCTGCGGAGTGTCTGGCCCCTCACACTCCTGGGCTGTCCCTCTAGGGAGGAGGAAGAGAGGCTTGGGTGGGAGGCCTGGGCCCTTCCTTTCACAAGGACCCAGGGACCCAGGTAGAACCTTTGGGTCCTTCTGTCGACATTATTCACCGTTGGAGACTGAGGTCCCTTTGGAGAGTTGCTAACTGGATGACAAGTACATCTTGAGTGTAGTATTGGAGCAGAGGGGACAGTGGAGGGACTGAGGCTCCTGGTGGTAAGGAGCAGTGAGGATGGAGAGAGGCATGGCTCCCGTTGCCAAGGGGTCCTATCCTGCCTCACCTCAGCACCTGGACCCTGAATACTGCCCCATTTGTGCATTAAAGACAACCACCAAAAAGGGCCCAGCCCAGAGGGGGTCCTAGCTCCAGGCTTTCCCTGGAGGCAGCTGTCACCTGAGAAACAGATCCAAATGCTGATGGAGGACTATAGCCAGGAGGACAGGAAGGCGTGCCCTGTTGGCCTCAGAACTTTGGAGGCTGGGTTGTGCTTCGCCTCCCAGGGTTGTGTAGGAAGATGGGAAAAATGCTCCACTCTCTCATCTCCAGCAGTTTTCTGCCTTGCATGGAAAAACCCGAAACCGGACTTAGACCCTAACAAGTCTAATCCCTCAGTTCTGTGGGAGGCAGAGCTGGGGGCCAGCTATCCAGGGTCTGAGAGCTACGTCCTCCCTGTGGCTCAGCTCTGGTTTGGGAACAGAATGAGAGCTGAACCCTGAGGAACCTGGACAAGGAGGGCCCTGACTTCTGACCCTCTCTGTGACTCAGGATTTCTCTGTGCTAGGTTCTGAGGAAACTCATCACCCCCAACCCTCACCCCTGGCACCTTCTGATGTAAGAGACAAATGAGGCCAGATCAGAGGCACCGGATGTCTACTTCCTGTCACTGCACCTGCTCCAGCTCCATCTCCCCTGGGCCTGGGATGCTGCTGTCGCCATGCCAACAACAATATCCACTCTCAGGGGGACTGTTGCTAGGCTGCAGGTCCCTTTGTGCCTGCCTTAGTGTCACTCTGACAGTGTGACTTGCGGGAAGCAAAAGCTCAGTTCCTGGGGCCCTTTCTTCCCTTCAGGTTGACCCCTCCTGCTCCCCAGCCTCAGTTTATTCATCAGCATAGTACAGTACCAGGGATCTCTGCAGCCCTCACCCGGGCTGCCCAAGATTGATCCTTCACTCTGGACAGAAAACATATGTGGCCAATAGGAGCCACAGGGCTGCTTTGCTCAGAGGTAGCTCTCCTCAGCCCAGAAACCCCAGCTTTTCCTACACTCTGTGACCAACCCTAACCCATGACTAGCGTTGGAACCTGGGACTGCTGCTTCTTTTCCTGACCTTGTGACCTTTTCCATTTAACCACTGCATGACCTTTCCTTGTTCTGTGGCCCTTGATCTGGTTCCTCGCGGCAGCAGCCCCTTCTCTTCTTTTCCTCCTACCAGTCCTCCTGCTGGTCTTACTGATAGCTCCAAACCTGGTGAGAACAGCTGGCCCAACCCCTGCCCCTGCCCAGGTAAGCAACATATGAAGGAGAAAACATCCCAGATGCCTTCACCCCTTGGAAATGGGGCCACAATGTTCAAACCCCTCCACAGATATGTCCCAGCATCTCCTGCTTTGGAGAGATGTGGTACTGGGAGGCAAAGTTCTCCAACCAATGGCAGAACGGGGACCTGGGAGGCACCACTGAGAGGTGCAGGGGTGGGATTGCTGTGACCCAGGCAGGACACTAGCAGGAGGAGCTGTGCAGGGGTGGGAGCGGTGTCCTCGGAGGGGTGCTGACATTCGGGGACATTAAGGTGCTGGGAGGGAGATGTGAGGCAGGATGGAGGGGAGCCAGTGCTTGGGAGGCCCGGAGTTGGGTATGGCTCAGAACTGGGTGGCTCCCCCACCCTCCTGGACTCACGGGCACTCTCTTCATCCAGCTGATTCAACTTAATGATGCCCACTACATGGCCAGGTTCAGCCTCAGTTGTGAGGCAGGAAATGAAACCAGCCCCAGCCCCCGGCTGCTGTCCAGCGGCTCGGCCCCCAGCCCAGGCCCCTGCTCTCTGCAGTGCTGGGCAGCCCCCTCTGCCTGGTGCTCAACAAACCGGCCTCAGGCAGGACAGCCCCACCAGTGTGCCGCCCTGAATTCCCCCTCCACTGGCCCCGCTCTGCCTCCTGCTCCCACTGGCCTCGTAAGCTCTGAGCCCCACAGCTCACCTCTCCTGAGCCTGAGCCTTGCGTGCCCACCAACACTCAACTTTGAACCCCAGCTTTTGATAGGCCCTCAAATCTGAGCTCAGTTTTCACCAACACCCCAACCTCTATTATAACACCCTAACTCTTAGCCTCATCAGACTGACCGTTGCCTTTGCAGTCAACCCCCTCATCAACACCCCAGCCTGAGTTTTCTACCTTCAGTGGCCCACCTCTTCCAGACCCCCTTTCCCCAGCCCCCCTTAGCCCATGCTTCCCTCCCCCCAAGCCCCAAGGAAGCTGGACAGGCTCCTGTGGGTGTCCAGGGTGGCAGTGGGACAGCTTCAGGATGTGACTGCCCACACACAAGGCGCCCTCCCTCAGGGCAGGGGCTGGGACTTTACAGGAATTACACGTAGTGGGGGTATCACAGCACTTCCTGGGCAGCCCTGCTCTGCTCCCAGGCCGAGGCCACCTACCTGTCCCAAAGGACAAGCGTCTTCCCCCTGCACTCTTGCTAACCACCACCTCGCCAGCCCCCAAGAGAATGGTGAGCCTCTCCCTCATGCCTGCCCACAGGGTCAGTGGGACAGGCACCATGGGGCTCCAGCCTCACTTCTGTCTGGCGTTCAGTCCCCAGTTTGGTCTGAATAGAGCTCCCTACCCCTCAACCTTTCTTCCATTTTTTTCTCCCAGGGCAAAATGTATGCCACCTTCTCCTGCCAAGGGAGTGACTGCTTCAAAGGACAGATCACCATGGCCATGTGCCCCAGGGGCTTGGACTTCCATGAGGTGAGCCCTGGAGGGCTCCAAGGATTGGGGTGCCATCCTCCCTCAGCACCGTGGGCCTTCCTCTTCCTACTTGGGTGGAGTAGGTTGGCAGCCCAATCCGGCTGGAGCTAGACCTTCTGGGAGCCAGGCAGTCTGGGGTCTAGTAGGCCTGACCTCACATCTCACAGCTCTGCACACTGAATCCAGGGCAGCAGCTGGGATTTTCCAAGTCTCCCAGACCTGCCCCCTTGTCTCTTACAACCCCAAATGTCCTCTGGGATTGGATAGCTGATCTTGGTTCGGGGGACCTAGGAGTCCAGGGAGGTTCAGCTTAGCCCATGGTCCACTTTCTGCCTCCACAAGTTGGGGGGAGGGGCAAAGGGAGGATGAATGGTCCTATCTCTTCTTGCAGCTGAAAAGGTCCAACTCAGGCTACACTGCAGGCTGCAGCCAGGCCTGTGTGACAGAGACCCCCAGGTGTCATGGGGCTGCAGTTCAGCCCTGCCAGTAGGAAAGCTGCCAAGCCTCAGCCTCAGGCGGCTGCCTCTAGCTGGATGGGAACCTCCACTTCAAGCGGGTAGCCCCAAGGATCACCATGGCTTGGGCCATGCTGCTGCTCCTCCACCCTGCCCTGCTCCCGTTCCTGCTCCCCTAGCCAGGCCCAGTAGCATCAGGAAACAGCAGCCAGGAAGACCATGTAGCCCCGACACGTCCCCAGGCCCCCTTCTAGCTCTTGATTCCTGCAGCTCCATTTTTAGTGAAAGGGATTTATTAAGTTCACACCCTGGGCTCAAAACTCTCGCTCCTTTCTCTCAGGGCCTAGGCCTGATCATGGGGCCCTCAAAGGGGGGACACAGGAGCCCAAGGAGAGACTGGAGTGTAGAGAAACAGAGCCACCTCCCTCCTGACCCCCATCAAGTTGGAGGAACCCAGAGTCCTGTAGGGTCAGTTTCTTCACCTGTAAAAAGCTTGGCCCCATCCACTCTTCCCAGACCTTCCTCCCCAGCCCTTAACATCAAGAGTGGGGCTGAAATTGGATTCCACTCTCCTGAAGTGACCCCCAAACCCTTTATCTCTATGGGTCTGAATCAATCCTTTTTCCCTTTTTCCCCAACACAACTTTGAAACCAAATTCAAATAAACTTGAGCCCCATTTGTGCTGTGGCTATTTCCAGAAAAAGGAGAAGCCTGGGGAGAAGGTGGTAGGTGTTTATGGATGAAGTTTACATATCCAGAGTTGGACTGGTGATTAAGGCAGCAGCTCCTAGCTCAGGGAAAGAGGGGGGCCCCTGGGCAGAGGTGCAGTGACCACTGCTTCCCCAGCACTGATCGTTCCATTCGGGTCAAAGCTTGAGAGACAGTGTACTCACTGAGATAATTCATGAATTAAGTTAATAATTTAGTAAATACCTTCTGAGGGCCAACTGTGTTCTAGAAACAATGCTGGGGAGATGAGGAAATGCCAGCCCTGTCCTCAGGGAGCTTACAGTTAATGAAATGGCCAGCAGGTTGAGAGAGACCAGTCCTGGATACCTTACTTGAGTTGGCCCTTTTTGTCCATCTGAGGCAACCTCCTTATCTTAGATGGGGAAATCGAGGCCCCAAAAGAGAAAGGCCTTGCTCAAGTATAGGTAACCCGGTGAATCAGGGGAAGGAGCTTGGGAATGATTAAGTCCTGAGAGAGGGTCCCCTCCGCAGTCTCAGCACAGTAATGCCCATGAGCAGTCACACCCTGAACAAAACACGTTCACATCCACTGTCCTCAAACAGCTCCACAAGGCAGGCAGGACTGGGTGCTCCCCATCATATACACATTACACACATGTCATGCGTGCACATGAGGCTAAGGGAGGTAAGATGGCAGTGTGTGGCAGGATCAATGGCAAAGAAGTTGGAGTGAGTCAAACTTTTAGTAGAGGCCCAGTTTTGCAACTTGCTAGCAAATTGTTTAACGTCTCTGAGCCTCAGTTTATCCACCTGTAAAATGGAGATACTAGTTCTTCATAGTGTTGTTGTCCTGTTAGCTAGGACAGGGCAGTTATTTGGGGAGAAATTGAGTTGAGGCTAGGATTGGCTGGCTTGGAATGACAGGAGTTGAGGATGGGATTGAGGAGAAAATAAAAATGCATTATTTTTTCTCTTAAAGCAGACATGGGCATTTTCCTTCTGGGTTCTCAGCAGGGAGCTCTGGTCCCATGACTTAGAGGGCCAGGAATGGAGATTAGGGCATTCATTAGGAAAATCCGGCATAGGGAACCCAGTGTACCCCAGGCCATAAGGAGTTAATGGGGGCGCAGAGGCCCCACCTCATGATTGGCATGGGCATGCTGGGACTTGCAGTCTGGCTGGGCATCATGTGGCGCAGAGGCCATTGGGAAATGTAGTCACGGGCTTGTCCGGGTCGCGGTGTCCCACACACCCTGCAGTGACAGCTCCTCAGGAGGTAGGCGGCAATGACAGGGGCCTGGGAGTGGGTGAGGAGCAGGGAAACCAGAGAGGGCTGGGCAGGAGGGAGTGGACAAGCTAAAGGCTGGGACCCCTGACCTGCAGCTGTCAGAACCAGACACCCCCTGGCCTGCGGCTGATGCAATGGGGCCTGCTGGGTGGGGTGGGGATCAAGGAGCAATGGGACACTTTCCCTGTATTTAAGGAAACAGAATCAGGGCTGGGGGCCTTGCCCAGGATGAGACCCTTCCTTCTTCAGAGTAACGGGATGCTTTCCCCAACCCCATGCAGACACCCACTGACACCTCCCAGAGAGATGCCAGCAAGACAAATACTGCTCCCCAGAAAGGGAGACAGAACTGTGTCAGCAGAGAGGGGCTCCTCCCAAGTCTCAGCACAGTACTTCCTGTGAACAGTGTCACACCCTTTACAAAACACATTTTGTAAGTGGGGCCATGTTCCCCACTCCAGTAATGGGACAGGGCACCCCACTTCCAACAGGAAGACTGGATGACACTCAGAAACAACTGGATGCCCTTCCAGACAAAGGGCAGTACAACGACTTGTACCTCCCAAGCAGGGATAAAGGAACAGCCCCTTTCCCTAGAAACTAAAGGGCCCGTTCTAGGGAGGAAGAGCAGAAGGAGCAGGCTTCCTCTGCCTTCTTCCTGCCCAAAGACCCCTCCTCCCTGCCCCCCAGCCCTCTAGTGCAGCTCCAGCACTTCGCTGGTAACTTACTGACCAAAGGGGGCTCCCATCTGCCCTCCCCCAGGGTGTGTGTCTGCTGCGTGGGACAGCATGGACCAGTCTGTGGCCATCCAGGAGACGCTGGCTGAGGGGGAATACTGCATCATCATATCCTAATTAGGAGCTCCCAGGCGCAGGCCCTGCCCTGGCCTTGGGAAGTGGAGTGCAAGACGTCAGTGTGTCTCTCTGCTCTCCTCTGTCTCTCTGTGCCATGAGGCACAGAGAGAAACCAGTATTTACTAGGTACTCATTCAGTACTGACTACCAGGTGCTTTAAAATACTCAGTTACCCTATCAGCCCTCTGTGAGGTTAGGGATTATCACCTGCATTTCGCAGATGAGGAAGGGTCCGAGAGGCAAAGCAACTTGCCCAGGGTTACAGAGCGAGTGTGTGGGTGAGGGAAGGTGGAGCAGGCTGGGCTGGGGGAGGCCTGGCCTCCGGTTTTGTTTTGTTTTCTCTTGACCTGAGCAGCAGGCAGTGCAAGGTGTGCTATGTGAGGGGGAGAGCAAGCAGAGCCGCCTTCTGGGACTTGTGCGCTACCGCCTGGAACAGGGTGGCCAGGAATATGCGTAAGTAAGGGGTTCGGTCTGTCCCTGTCAGAGCCTTGGGGTTATTGTTCACTGTACCCTCCGCTGGACTTCAACTGTCCCTCTAGAGCAGAGTTCCCAGAGTCTTCTAGAGTAATTATAATAATAATAATTGAGATTTTTTTGAACACTACATTGTAAACCTTTCATATGCATTAATATAATCCTCAAAATCTGATGAGGAAGCCTCTCAAGAAGAGTCCGTTTCACGTACTGGTCCAGATCTTAAGCCTTGTGACCTGACTATCTGCGTTCAAATCAAGACTTTGTTACTTCTGAGCCATGTGATCTTGAGCGAGTTGCTCTACAACTCTGTACCCCAATTTGTCTGGATTAAAGACTAAAGTGAATTATTACATGTCAAGTGTTTAAAGCACTGTGAAGCACCTAGAAAGTGCTCAGTAATTGTTAATAACAACCCACACACAGGACACAAAAGCAGAGAGAATAAATAATACTTGCTCAAATTCTCAGAGTCCAGAAGTCAACCTTAGAGTCTCAGGGCTGGGAGGGAAGGGCCTTAGACATTTTCAGATTTACCACCTTCACTTTACAGATAGAAAGCAGGTTTAGGAAGGGAGACGGGGTGGCTTAAGGTTGCACTGTTCACGTCACAGTGACAGGATGTGCTAGGATGTGCAATGGATAGATCAAGCACAAGTTTTACTAACAAAGCAGGGGCTCCCCAAGAGGAGACAAATAAGCTTGGCTGATGTATTCATAAAACTGCAGTCTGTTGGGCACTGTGGACAGAGAGGACATGAGGATTGTGCATGGCTGGGCACCACCAGCACAGCCCTAGGGAGTAAGGAGGGAGTGTGAATCCCAAGGCCTCCACGACTGGCCCTGTCCTCACCAGTGCTTCCTGTCCTTAGTCTCTTCCTGTATACACACCGGAGGATGGCCATTACGGGGGATGATGTCTCTTTGGACCAGATAGTGCCAGTCTCGCGGGATTTTACACTGGAAGAAGGTGCTATAGGGGGCTGGGTGGTATGAATTCCTGTTCTCTGGGCCCCCAGGTCCTTTCTGCCCTTGTTGGGGGGTGGGGCAGAGGGAGCAAGGAGCATGCTGGGGCTACGGTGCTCAAATCCTAAGGGCCTTTTCGTTTCCCTCCCCAGTGTCCCCAGATGGTGGACTCTACATTCTTGGTGAGTGTCCGTTCAGTCGGAGTCCCAGTTGGGGCAGGGGGTACAGGATCTGCAGAGAACCGTGTGAAGTAGGAGCACCCACTGATATCCTCACTGTGGCAAGCAAGACCCTGCAGAATCTGGCCCTGCCCACCTTGCTGGCCTCGGTTCTATGCTTGCTGCACTTGAAACCCGATAGATTGCTTCCATCACCTCAAACATAACACACTGTCACCTGGGAGCCCCTGCCCATGCTGTCTGCTCTCCCAAAAGCCCTCGCGCCTCTTTTTGCTTAAGCCAACCCATTCTTCAGGGCTTCATTTCACACTCTACTCTATGCAGGAAGCCTTTATGAACTTATGAAGTTTTCTCTCACTGGTACACATTCCTTTTTCTCATCCTTGTCATCTGTCACTCACAATGATTTAATTATTTGTAGTTTCCTATTTAATGTCTGTCTTCTTTGTTAGACTGTAGTAGTAGTAATAATAATAGAAATGAATATTTAATCAATGATTACCTTGTGCCAGGCACTATGCTAAAGGCTTTACATACCTCATATGGTGTTTCCCTCGCAACAGCTCCAGGAGGTTACCACTGTTTTTATCGCCATTTTACTGGCAAGGTAACTGAGGCCCAGAGAAATTAAGTGATTTAGTTAAGTGGTGGAACCAGGATTCAGACTCAGAATCCAGACTCTAGAGCCCCCACTCTTGTTCAGTATGCTAGATTGCTCCTGCTCATTCCTTAGTTCCTTGCATGTTTGTGGGTGCTCACCAGGTACCTGCTGGGTACTGGCGTTACACTATGAGCAAGATACCATCCACAGTCTAGCGTCCTAAAGACAGGCTGCTTCAATGATGGCATTTCCAGTACCTAGCATGTGTCTGGCTCAGTCAAGTAGGCTGACTGATGGGCAGCCCCTCTTGTTTGCGTCTATGTGCTCTTCTGTCCACTTGGTGAGAGGCATGGACTGTATGTCAGAGCACTTGTTTTCCTCCAGCTCCGTCTAGTACTGTTGTGGCTAACTGGCTTTTAGGAGCCTTGGTCCCCTCCCTCAGCAGAGTGAGGATGATGACAGTCTGGAGGTTATAATAATAATAAGGAGGTTCTCTTACTGTTCCAGCAGCAGCCTTCAGTGAATTGCTTAAAGGCCAAAGGAGCTTTAGACTGCGGATTCTCCATACTGGAGACTCCAGCCTTAGGATGCATCAAAGCACTTAGCTCCTGGAGGCCAAGGGCTCATTTTCTGCCTCCTCTGTGCAGGCTCAGATGTGACCGTCCAGCTGGACACAGCAGAGCTCAGCCTTGTATTCCAGCTACCCTTTGGTTCACACACCAGGATGTTCCTCCAGGAAGTTGCCAGAGCCTGCCCAGGTAGGTAAGACCTCAGGCTCCTTGGGGCGGTGATCGACCCACTACTAGTAGACTTTCTACACTTGGGACTCACACTCCAGTGTCTGTGCCCTCTTAAAAGCTGCTGGCCTGAGGCTGCAGTGCTCCCAGGCCACCAGCCAACCATGGTGTTTGCATTTCTGGACCTGAGTTTTAGCCCCAGCAGACCTCTTTGCTCTCTTGGTGCTGGGCAGGCTGTACAGAGTGGGTAGTGATTCTGATGCATAATCTTTTACAAGTTAGTAGGGTCAGCAGCTACTAGAAGCCCATCTTCCCTCTCTCTGCCAACCACAGCCAGAACCAAGAACTTCTGTCATCTGTCATATGGGCTCTGCTGCCCTTGAATCTTGCTCTGTCACCCACTGCAGCTGAGGAAATGGTCTAACTGTGGCCTGGCAGTGAGATGTTAGTGGCCTCTAAGTCAGAATTTGTTTAGATCAGGAGAACAGCTAGCAGGTGAAGGAAAGTTTGTACAGAGCTGAGGATCAGCCCAGAACATGCAAATTTGAGTCGCCAGGTGCTGGGGTTAGGTGTTTACCCAACACTATTACTTATTTCCTTTCTAGCTAACATCTTGTCACTGAGGGGCCAGGGGGAGGGCATCACTTTTATTGTGATCTCACCATGAAGCCTAGACTTCCAGGGGCTCCAACTTAATCCAGTTTAATTCTCTGGTGTGCCAGTTAGGGATTGGCTTTGGATGCAAACTGAGGTATAAGGAAAAGGAAGTAGAAACAAGATTATAGAGCCTTGAATGCCTAGTTTAAGGGGTTTAAAGTTTTTTCTACAGGTGGGGGGAATTTATTTCCAGACCTTCACCTAGTAAGGATAACTTATTTTATGATTATTATTGGTAGTTGTAGGAGGGGTAATAATAGCAGTAACAGCAAAGAGCATGGACTTTGAAGCTACACCGTCTCTTGTATTTGAAGCCACTTTTTTCTGGTTCTGACCTGTGTGGCTTTGGGCAAACCACCTCATATCTCTGACATGTAAAGAGTATCCTTCTGCAGGAATTTTGAGAATTAAAAGAGAGAATACATATGAACATGTGCAGCACATAGTAGAAGCTCAGAAAGTGTTTCCGCCCTCTGTACAAGAAGGCCCATAACTTAGCTAACATTCGTGGATGATTTATTGTGTATTAGACACTGTTCTAAGAGCTTTACACACATTATCTCATTTTCCTTACCACAACTTTACAAGGTAGGTATTTTGATGTCTCCATTTTACAAATGAGGAAACTGAGGCTCTAGGCTGTTCTGTGCCTTGCCCAACTACATAGCTGGTAAACTACGGAGCCCAGGATTAGATAGGATTTGAGAGTCTCCTCCAGAACCTGTGCTCTTGAGCTTCCTATGCTTGTGCCACCCGGTTGCATCTAAATGGCTCAGGGAAGACTTCATGGAGGAGATGTTTAAGCTGAGACTTGAAGGATGAATGAGGTTTTTCCCAGGCAGACAAGAAGAGAAAAAGAGCCATCGGAAGGAAGAGCAGTCACTTGGTGGGACTGAACTTGAGATAGAAATTGCTGAGCCAGGAGAAGCCAGCAGAGACAGCTCCTGAAGGGTCTTAACCAACCCAGAGCTCTGACTGCCCCATCGCTCGGGGGGAGCTGTAGGAGTTTTAAACGGAGGAGTGACAAGGCAGGATTTGCTTGTTAGAAAAATTCTTTTGGCAACTGGTACAGAAGGGGAGAACCTCAAAGGAGGGAGATCTACTGGCGTGGGAGCATATTACAGGTGCTCAGGGATAAACTAGGGGCTTGGAGCTGGGCCTGGTAATGCAGATGGAGAGGAGAGGACGCACTGGAGAGATCAAACTGAGGAGGATGGAGGCTCCATGGGGGCAGTGAGTTTGCACTGTGTTCACTTTACCCCAGTGACTAGAACAGTGCCTGGCACATAGTAGATGCTTAATAAATATGTGTTGAATGAGTGAGCAGAGCTGGGCACTTGGCTGTGTAGACAAAAGCAGGAGAGGAGTCGAAGATGACTTCCTTCTTTTAGCTTTAGCTATCTGTCAGTCACTTTACCTGCTCTTCCCTCTGGGGCCCACACCTGGGGTAAGCAGCAGGGAAACTGCCCTGCCTCAACTTCTCTGAGCAGTTGTCATGATGCAGACTCCCTCATGGAGGGGCCTGGGTGAGAGGGGACTCTCAGAGTTGCTAGGTTCTTGGATATCCACCAGCCCAATCCTTGCATTTTACAGGTAAAGGGACTGGAGTCAGAATGAGGTTACAGGTGAAAAGAACTAGTTTTCCCCACCCAATCCTTGGTGGGTAACTGTGCAGCAAAAAAGGGCCAGGGAGTGGGAGTGCTTTGCTCAACAGACCACAGTCAGAGGAAAGCATTCGCTAACACTGAGTACTTGCTGTATGCCAGAAACATTTTTCTGGACACCTAGACAATGCACAGCAGCCATGTTTTCCTATTCAGTCTTTTGAGCCATACTAAAGTGTAGGTATGCTGTTTTACAGATGAGTAAACTGACATAAGAAAGGTAACTTTCCCCAGGTCATTCATCAGTTGAAGTCACAGGACCAAGTTTAGAACCCCATGTTCTAACTCCAGCGCCATGCAGTCCGGAGATTTCATTTCCCATCCTAACTCTGCCACTTCTTAGTTGTGAAAGTGAACAATATATTTTTATTTATTCAGGTCTTGGCTTTTGTTATTTGTACAATGGAAATCTGAACTTGCCTTACCTACTACCCTAAGAGTTTTGTGAGGATCAGATAAGGTCTAGTATGGGGTAATAGTATGTAAATGTTGAAATTAATTTAAAAGCTGTGTCTGGCAGTACCATAATCAGTCTTGGGCCCCAAATCTCCTCTTTTGGGTTGCTTTTGTAAATCCAGTTCAGTTCAGTCAGGTTCATGCAGTTCTACAAGGGGAGCAGAGAGGATAGCATAGGGAACAGCCAGCCAGTGTTTGGGAGTCAGACAGACCTGAGTTTGAGTGAGAGGCAGAGTGGCTCAATTTCTAGGAAGGAGGAGGGGCAATCTGGTTAAGGGGAGCTAGAGGACTTGTCTTGAAGGCATATTCCATAGCAGGCACTCTGCTTTTACTTAGAGTGTGTGTTTTTATTTGGAGTGGCTTGGGAGTTGCTGATGGAGAGGAATAGTTAAAGCCCCCAGCCCACTCCCTAGTACTGACGTCTCTTTGGGTTCCCATTCTGATCTTAGACTTCACCCCTCTGAGCTCAGTCGCTATGGGATGATAGTTCCCTACCTCCTGAAGTTAGTTGTGAGGATTAAGGAGGTAATACATACATGAAGCACAAACCTTGGCACGTAGTTACCCGAGGTCGGAGAAGTGGCGTGGGTCTACGTTTTGTTTTCATATTCATTACTGCATTTGCATCTCCCTCCACCCTGCTCGCAAGCGTTAACGGGCATGGAGGCTCTCCCGAGAGGCCGAGCTATTTGCTCACGGTCATACAATCATTCAGAGGTGGAACCAGTCCTTCAGGCACATGCCTTAGTATTCTCTCCTTGTTCCTGCCACAGGCTTCGACCCTGAGACCCCAGATCCTGAGTTCCTGTGGCTGTCTAGATATAGGTGCACCCAGCCGGAGCCCGAGCTGCCCACCCGCAGCCTTTGGAACTCGGTCCCAGGCACCTGGCCGGGGTGCGCCAGAATTGGCGGAGGCAGGTATCCGTCTCGGAAGGGGCGGTAGGGATTGGCGAAGGCCAGGCCTCAGGGGCGGACTCCGTTCTGTTTGGGGGCGAGGATATGGAGCAGACCGGCCTTCTATTGGCGGAGGTAGAGAGCGGAGGCGGGTCCTCTGGACACGGGCGGGGCGGGGCGGGCAGCGTGATGAAGAGCTAGGAGAAGCAGGCAGGGAAATGTCCGACGCGGCCGCCTCCCGGGAGCGCGACTCTGCAGGTTGGCGGGCTGTGGGAAGCTGGGCTGGGACTCTGGGCCGGGGGCGGCGGCGAGCCAAACTTTCAGGTGGGCAAGGTCTGAGGTTTGGCCCGTGGACGCATGGCGCAAAGGCCGAGGTCCTGCGGAGGTGCGGATCCTGCGGCTGAAGTTCATTGGGGATGTTAATCTTGGCCGAGCTTGAGGAGAGCAGGCGGATGGCAGTGGGATACTTCGGCATCTGGAGCCTGGGGTTGTAGTAAAGCTACGTTCCTGACTCGCTGTGTGATCCCGGCCAGTCGCTGCCTCTCTCTGAGTCTCAGTTACCACATACTGACCTTCAGTCAGTTTCTTAATACTTGATCTGAATTTGGCTTGTGTGAGGGTGCACTCGCCACGACAGAACCTTTATTTGGGAGAAGAATGGTGTCTGTATTGGGGCTGTCTGGTTCTCTTGTCGGTCCTCAGCCCCTGCGATAGATTGGGCTGTGCGCAGACCTGGAATCTAGGAACGCTGTGTTCAGCACCCGCTCCTAACCCGCTCCTCCGGGGACTGGAGTCCAGGATGAGGTTACAGGTGAAAGGGACTAGATTTTTTCCACTCAGCCCATGGGTAATGTTTTGCCGTACAAAAAGGCAATTGATGAGCAAGAGGATGTCTTTCGGAGAGCAAGAGGCCCAGGGCTGAAATTTGGGTCAGTCTGGTGCTTTGGGAGGACCTGCAGACCTGTATTTTCTGTTCAGCTCCTAGGTTATCTGCAAGGGCTCCCTGCATTTTTTCTCCTGGGTGTGCCCATGCGGCTCTAGTTACGTATGAGCTCTGGCATGACCACTGGTGCCCATTTGTGCCCCTTTTCTCAGCTATTTGCTAGAGGTGAAGAGTCTGTCGAGTAGCTGTGTAGAATGTGAGCCATCTCTCCATTCGCGCTTACAAGGCTTGGAAACTATGAGGGGCTGGGGAGGGGGAATAGCAGGTTGCACAAGTTTGTAAAATGAGAGGAAATGAGGCGAGCAAAGGACTTCCTCAGTGCTTATGCTTTTCCCTCTCTGCAGCTGCCACAAGACGCTGTTGAAGTGCTTGATTGTGCTGATAGTTCACTGCGTCTTTCATGGTCTTAGCTCACTGGAGGTGCTCATCTAAAACAGCGATTGCTTCAGTTTCCATGACATTCTGTGCTTCAGTGCCAGGACAGGTGAGGGCTTTAGATAAGAATACATCCTCTCCTTGCCCCTTCGAAAGAGGCTGTGGATCCAGACCATTCGTGGAGGACAGGCCCAGTGGCCACAGAAAGCGGTGGGTTCTGTCTTCTTAGCCAGCACCTTAGAGCCAAGCTTGGAGTGTTTCATTCCTCATGCTAGAGAGGCGGAGGTAGCCAGGGCAGCTCTGACACCAGTTATCTGCCCCTGGGTGATCAATGCACAGAGATCTCAAAATTGTTCCTTTCCTTTCAAAAAACAAAAACTAGCCACATGCTGGTGAGGAATTATTGTTAATGTTTTGGTTTTATGTTTAGTTTAAAAATGATTTGTTCCCATCACAATAGCTAGATTAAGTGGGGTTACACTATTAATTGCTAAGTTGCTTATGTTAAGATTGGCACCAAGTCCCCAGTTCTGTTTGGGTCAGCTGTTTCCCAAGTTGCTCTGACCTCAGAGGAGGGTCATGACTTCTGCAGCAGGTAGGAGGAACTCTTAGGATCTTCCTAACAGTTCAGGCCCCAAGGGAAATAGGTAGTGGATTTGGTTCTTCCTATATGCATCTGATCAAAATGTCCACTTCCTGGTAGCCTGGGGAACCAACCCAAGGCAAAAGGCTGTTTAAAACATGCTATTTGTAATAGTCATCAGGAGAATTCCCTTAGGAGCTGATAGTCTAACAGAGAGGGAGCTCACAGTCCGTGGATAGAGGTAAGAGGCTGTGGGTTTGGCCCAGCAGAGTGGTGGCCCTTGTACGGTGAGCCACGTGTCAGAGCACCTCAAAGCCCTGGGTGCAAGGTGAGTCTGCTCTTCAGTCCTTGCCTTTGCCTTAGTAGAGAAAGGAAAGATCTCACTTTGATGTTTCTGTTAAAAATGTCCGGTCTTTTATTTTTTCTCTGCTGAATTCAGGGGTATCAGGCCAAGCTTGGTAAGGACTGTAAAAAAGGGAAATACAGCTAGTTTTAGACAGGAGTCCATGTCTTCAGGTTCACACCAGTGTCTTTGAGCTGAGTAGTGACATTGAAGTGAGATATGATGCTTCTGGTTGACGGGCAACCTGCTCATCTGATTCCCTTGGCTTCTTCAGCTAAGACCTTGGAGGAATCTCTGACAAGTAGCTCTTGTAGGTAGGAGCTTTTCTGCCTCTTCACTTAGTTGCTCTTCTTTGTGTAGCTTTTTCTTTCCTTAAGAAGAAATAAGGAGAAATGTCTCTTAATTTCTATCTAGCAACTGAAAGTCTCTTGTCCAGAAAACTCCTTGGGGGACCCTGCACAAGGTAGAATAGTTATCCATGTTATTGACTAAATTGTCACCTGCATTTCATCCTGGTCACGTGAAAGACCTAGAGCAGTGTGTCTGGAGGAATCTGAGTTTTGCACTGCAAAGGAAAACAGCTATTGAGAAGTCCCATTGGAGCTATTCCAGGCTACTTTAACACAGTGGTAATAGCAAACAAATTTTGGTCTTTTGAAGTGGTTTTCTTATTCCATGGTTGATTCAACGTGAGGCAGCTTTGTAGTAACTCAGATTTAGAATGAGATGCGATATGAGAATTTTTTCCCCTGGACCCAGGAAACAAAACATTAAATTCTGTCTGGCCAGAGAAAGGAAATGAATACTATTTATATCTCAGAGTAGCATAAAGGGTAACCTAGATTACCAGGGTAGAAGCCAGAGTGTTGGAAAAATAGCCCCCCGGTCAGAAGAGTTTGTGTGTGTCCCTCTTTGTCTTTTCCCTCCCTCTGTCCCACCTTGGTTACCAGGGAAGTAAGTGTGTGTGTGTGTGTGTCTGTCTTCCTATCTTTTCCTTCCCTCTGTCCCCCTTCCTCTCCCTTCCTCCTTCTCTCCTTCTCTCTCAATAAGTAAAATCTGTGTGACCAACATACCCTTTGAGCATAGAGAACATGACTTTTCCTAAATGTTTATCCTACAGGTAGAAATAGAGCTATTCCAGGCTACTTTAACACAGTGGTAATAGCAAACAAATTTTGGTCTTTTGAAGTGGTTTTCTTATTCCATGGTTGATTCAACGTGAGGCAGCTTTGTAGTAACTCAGATTTAGAATGAGATGCGATATGAGAATTTTTTCCCCTGGACCCAGGAAACAAAACATTAAATTCTGTCTGGCCAGAGAAAGGAAATGAATACTATTTATATCTCAGAGTAGCATAAAGGGTAACCTAGATTACCAGGGTAGAAGCCAGAGTGTTGGAAAAATAGCCCCCCGGTCAGAAGAGTTTGTGTGTGTCCCTCTTTGTCTTTTCCCTCCCTCTGTCCCACCTTGGTTACCAGGGAAGTAAGTGTGTGTGTGTGTGTGTCTGTCTTCCTATCTTTTCCTTCCCTCTGTCCCCCTTCCTCTCCCTTCCTCCTTCTCTCCTTCTCTCTCAATAAGTAAAATCTGTGTGACCAACATACCCTTTGAGCATAGAGAACATGACTTTTCCTAAATGTTTATCCTACAGGTAGAAATAGGGCCCTTCATCTCCACCTCTGTGGGAAGCTCCTCAGGCTCCTAAGCAAATTAATTTGGATCACTTTGTTTCTTTAAACAAAAGAGAACTGTGTACCTTTTTGTTCCTTCTTTTGTTGTTCCCTTCTCCATTTTCCCTCTTTGTCACATTGAACCTTGTATTTGTTTCTAGAATAGGAGAACCCCCTGAAGACTTTTTCTTTCCTTCAGGAAACGGTTTGTTTTGGGCTCTACAGTGGGAGTCTTGAGCAAGAGAGGTGACCCACAAACGTTCATTTAGAAGCGGCTTTGCACAGAAAAGTCCTCAGGGAGGGAAGGTTCAGGAAAACAGAAGCATCAATATTTATTAGAGGAAAGACGGAGTTGGAACCTAGAAGCTAGCTTACTTGCATGTTTTCTTTGCTGCTTAAAATATAACAAAAATTTGTAGATTTAACTAGTGATGCATATGTGAAATGAAGCTGCAAATATGAATGATGAGGATTTAAACAGAGTGTATATCTAAGTGGCCTGGGTAATTTTATTTTTATTATTGCATCTCAGTATGATATTAGACATGTCTCTTGGCTCTCCTCTTTTCCATCTATAAAATGGTAGCAAATGTTTGCCTGCTAGAAGGTCACACAGGACTTACGGAATGCTAAATTATTTAGCGGTGCTTTCGTTTGGGAAACACATTAAAGAATTGCAAAAGCCCACCTCCGTGAGCTCAGGAACTGGCTGTCCTCTGCAGAGCCTGTCCCAGGCCGGTTTCTCCCAAGTACCAACACTCTCTTCTTTACTCCCTTCGCTCCGGTTCCTTTTCTGTTAATGAAGTCACTGAAAAACCACAGTCACTATTGACTCTTCCCTCTTGTGTCTAATGACTAAATTCATCTATATTTCTTTCTGCAATTTTAACATTTTTTTGGGAAAAAAAAAAAGTAAATCCCCATAGTTAATGTTGGTATCCTCTTACCTGAACTAGGGCAGTGAGCAGATTCCTTACAGGTCTTGCTATTTAAGTCTCCTCTCCCTTAGGGAATCGCCTTGGAATCTAATTGTGTTATGCCCCACTATTTTGTGTATGAACTTGAACACCCCGTTCTACAGAATAAATTTCAGATTCTAATTAGCTGG